TGGCACGGAACACCGTAAAACAACGGCTTACCACCCGCAAGCAAATGGGCTGACTTAACAACTCAATAAGACAATTGCAGTCATGCTGTCAATGTATGTGGACATCGATCACAAGAACTGGGACGCCATACTTCCCTACGTACCTTTTGCGTATAACACTGCTGTTCAAGAAAGTACCTGTTTCACACCTTTTCCTTTAGTCCATGGTAGCGACGTCACGACGGTGCTCGATGCCATGCTCCTGCCCGACAACTTAGGAATATACCACACGGATGCCGCCGAATTCGCGCAGTGCGCAGAAGAGGCCCGTCAACTTGCTCGACACCGTATTCAACATAACCAAACCCAGACGCGCGCCGCTACAATCTTCGCCACCGTGAAGTTATTTTTAAGCGAGGTGATGAAGTCTTGGTGTGGACCACTATCCGACAGCGTGGACGTTCAGAAAAGCTTCTTCGCCGTTACTTCGGCCCTTACGAGGTCGTACGACGTCTCAGCGACGTCACTTACGAGGTTCTCCCACAAGGCAATTCGAGACGTTCCTGTTTCACCCCGCAAACTGAAGTCATTCCCGTTTCACGTCTCAAGCCATACTTTTCGCGCTGTGAATCGCCAGTGAGTGACTTACTTTATTGGTAAATTCGCGTCTTTCTTTTGTTTCGTCTTTTCCTTACATTTTTCCTATTTTTCTTTTTCTCATTTCACTTTTGTCCTCACAACGAACTACGTTATTCCGTCTTACGCCATTCATTTTGCTCGCATGCTAATTTTCATCTCATTTTCATTTCTTTTTTTTGCCTTCATGTACAACATTGAGACGATGCTTCTTGGGAGGGGGTAATGCCACCATTGACGAACGAGGCACTGTGGCTCATACTCGTTTTTGTGTTGCGAAGAAGAAGAGAACATCTTCGTTGCTCTGGTTCAAGTAAACTCCTGGCTGCAGGTCTAGTTTTGCTCGTGACAATATAATTGCTTGACTCCACTATTTTATAACATAACTCCACCTCGTAGCTACAGTCCGAAATGGTATTTTCAGCGATATTAGGATGCCTGGAGGCGCCGAAGAAGTAATTGTATAAAAATCGAACAAATATCGTATTTGCCTTATTATTGATAACTTTTGTATCTTTCTTGACTCATCCTATATATACTTAATATTATGAATTTTCAAGTCCTATTTTGCCGCATGTACCTTCTTTTGAGACAGATTTGTTTTTCATTGCAGCCGTGCCCTTTATTCTTTGCACAGCAGTTATTTATAGACAATTACTGACGCAAAACAAGGTCTTTAATGCGGCCCACCGTACACCATAACTGCATTTCCCGTAACAGACAATTGAGAAACCGGCTATGCAGCAAGAGCCGTGCACTTTGTAGACTCGTCAGTAGGAAAGCCATAAGCTGAATTGTTATCGACCGTTTTCCTCCGCCTCATACCGGCTTGCTTTGTGGGTGCCCCTGCGGTCCCCATCTTCTACGAGAGCTTCTTTTTTTCTTCGTCTATCTATCACATAGGAAGTAATGAACAAAATCGCAGCGAACAGGTCGTTAGCGTGTCGTTATGAGATAAGGAAGAAAAAAATGTAAACGAAGGAAGCGATGAAGGGAATCTGATTTCGTACCGCAGCTCTAGGGGGAAGTCGACAGGGGGAAGAGAGGACACCCTAGGAAACGCTTGGAGGTTAAGCCTTCGATATGAACCCCGTCGTCTTTTATAACAAGTGCCGGGGATTAATCGATGCCCGCGGTGCTCACATCTACACCACCCCAGGAGGGTGCACTTCTCTCCCGCTGCTCGGTGAAGGGCGATATGGGCTTTTAAGCGTCAGGGGTCCGGGCTCTCACGAAAGGTTATGTATGTCAGCACGATACGAAAATGCTGCTTCAGGTTTGATATTTCAGATAATTGCAGATGTAAAAAGCAGTGAGAATGATACATTATACAGGAAGTCGAGCTAGTTGGTACTACATTTTAAAATAGCGCGAAAAGCACGTGGACACAGGAAGAAGACACTTGCTTTGTCTTCTTCCTGTGTGCTCGTGTTTTTTTTTGCGCTGTTTTGCTATGATGAATTGCGTTGAAACAAAAAAAAGGAGGGGGGGAAGCATCGAACGTGCTAAGCATGCCGCTGTTTTCTGACCAAGTCATGAGGTTATCAGATAGGCAGGAACTGCTCAATTTTTGCACGTAGCTTTGGTGTAAAAAACAAGGTGTCTATATTCCCTGAGTGACGTTAACGATTTGTACAAGGAAGAAACGAAAGCTTACGTCAGGGTTTAAAATGAAACAGCCATTTCATCTAACAGGTAGAAGTGTCCTTACACAGCTGTTTCTTTCTTAATATTAGACAATGTTTATTCAATAGGTTAAGAAGACATCGAGATAAACTAACTTTTGTTTCAAAATATGTACTTTGTTTGTAACAGTGTCGTAGCCCCCCGTAATATGAATATTGCGAGATGTGTAGCGGAAAACAACTCGTGTGCGTATAACAGATAATCTTTCCGCATTGATGTGACAGGCATATAGGTAATGTGGCCTAAATAAAAAAGTGCACAAAAAATTGACACACAACTGCTCATGCGGACACACTAGCATTTGCAACCAGTTCTGCAGAGCTTTGCAGAGTTCATTAAAAAAAAGGAGTAATTTCATGCCGGGGCAGTGTTTAGGAATGGCTAAATAATATTTATACGTGCAGCTCCGGACGATTCGCGGCTGTTTTCAGAGAGTGGAAAGATCTGTCGGTCCACAGCCAACCGTATTCCTGTGGTATTCTCTGCGCTGGCAATCTAAAATGTGCATGCAGGGCTTAAAACCTTGTTTAACAAGGAGAGAAGTATGTATTTGAAACGAAGTGTGCACACCTCTTTTTTTTTATTGCTAAGCAACTAGAATATGCTCACTCATTCAGCATCACTGAGAAAAGAAGGTGTTACAAGAAAAAATAGGTCTTCCTCTTCAAAGACGCCGCGAGTGTAATTTTCAACACATCGAGTATTAAATTATGTCTCTATATACGCATCTAGACACGTCTCTTTTACCGGGTTGTGCTGCTCCTGCCAACACACAAGAAAAGAAAACCGAAAAAGAAAGAAACAGTAAAACCGACCGACGTTATCACCAAAAACCATCTTGGTTTTTTGCTTAATGCCGCTCTTGGTGAGTCACCGCTTCTACTTGCGACGTCCGTCCTTTTGAGCAGAGAAGGTTTAGCACAAGCAGATACTCTGCTGCTTCAATCTTTTCGAGGGTGTACTTGCACTCGACAAAATGAACAGCGAAGTGCAGCTGTAATGTGCGGAGTCTGTCCTCTGCTGATAGCGAATGAATCATGCTATTCAAAAAGAACTAGCGCGCTCAAGGAATACGACATGCATCGTTGCAGGGATCATAATATAAAAAAAACATAGAAGGTGCTGCTCTTGATGAAGCTTGCTCTTTAAGTACGTGCGTTAGAAAACGAAAAGGTTACTAATATATATATATATATATATATATATATATATATATATATATAGGTATGAATGAAAATGAAAAAAAGGGGCGACAAAACACTGATGTAGGATTATTGGGGTGGTGTTTTTTTAGCAGCTGACTTACTAATCGCCGGTGCACTGAACTCTCATTTCCAGTTTTGTATTGCTGTATCAATCCAGCGTGTAAAGATACAGAACTACATGTCTTAATAATATTTATTATTTAAGGCTCTATCTGCTGAAAGCATGGTGTAATCTATGAAGCAAGCGGTGTGGAAGGTACCACAGATTTTCGCAATATGTTGATATTTAACCTGCCTTGGAACCACCGAGTAAACAGCCACCTGAGACATAGCATCCATCGAAGTGTGACTTCAGCTTTCGGGACATAGCTCGGGACCTTGGATCGGCAGCCGAACACTGTAACCACTGTACCGCTGGAGGAGACAGGAATGGCTTACAGTTCGCTTCAAAAATTACTACGTAAACTAATCAGACGACCTTTCTTACGTGACAGGCTATGCAGAGGGTATACTGCTTTAAATTTTGTAGTTTTTTGTACTGGCTAAAAAGTTAGGAGAGAGAAGCGTCGCGGGTTCTGGCCTGACCTGCACTTTGTTTTTCTTGATGATGATGATGATTTGTGGGGTTTAACGTTCCAAAACCACTATATGATAATGGGAAACGCCGTAGTGGAGAGCTCCGGAAAATTTCGATCTCCTGGGGTTCTTTAACGTGCACCGAAACCTGAGTACACGGGCCTACAACATTTCCGCCTCCATGGAAAATGCAGCCGCCAAGGCCGGGATGTGATCCCGTGACCTGCGGGTGAGCAGCCGAGTGCCTTAGCCACTAGACCACCGTGGTGGGGCCTTCGTCTTTCTTGCAAGTCTATCTTTCAAGGCGTAGAAAGTAGCGCTTGGTTAAAATACCTTGTCCGCCAGTTACCGCAGTGATCGCAACTGCTCTAAAGGAAACAGCTTGCCTTTCAAAAAATTATTTCAGTGTATAAGTATGATTTATCCTTAAATTCAAAGCGTTTTTAACTTAAGTATACCTAAGTCTGATATTATATGTATTCGAAATAACCTTTAATATTGACCAGAACTGGTAATTTTCATACTAGATATTTAGAAAGGGTTGTTTTTAATATTTTGAAAACCGAAAATAAGTATTGTGACGGAAGTGCTTACAAAAGCTAAGAGAGCGTCACTTTGTGCTCGTGCCGCTAATAACACTAATGAACAGCTAATGTTATTTTTCAGGGAGTAGTGTTATATTCTCTACGACATGCATTTGCATCGACGCCATACAACCACCTAAAGGATATTCACTCGTCACTTGATTAGACTTTACGCAGTAATTCCGCTTTGAGAGAACAGAGAGCTTATTGCAGAGGCAGTTGCAGCATCACATTGATTTATTTGGTCTATGCCAGGCAGTCGGTCAAACACTTTAACTGCGATGGGTTACGCTGGAAACTCTTCATGTGCACGTCTTCTTGTATTCTCTCACAGAGCCAACTACTACGTCAATGGGCGGCAGGTGCGTGGCTACCACGTGGTCAATGTCACCCTGCACTGCGCATGCTCAGTGTTGGTGGCTGTCGTCGCACGCCGTGTGATGAGAATAGCTGTGCTCCATGCGTGCCTGGCCGCGATGCTGTTCGCTGGTCATCCAGTGCACACCGAGGCCGTGAGTACTCTTTTGTTTCTCAGGACTAGAACAATTTACGCCTGCTCTGATTGGTTTTATATATCGATTACTTCAACTGCTCACCTCCATATTGAAATCAATTCTGCTGTGTTCTGGACTAGTTTTTTTTCTTTGTCTTATCTTCTACGTGTTTCGTTGTGGTGTGCAGTAGAAGCAAGAGTGCAGTTTCGCTAAGACCTTCTAAGACTGTTGCGGCCCCTCGAATTTTCATTTCTTTCCTTGTTTTGTTTTCTATTTCTGCATTGTATAAGTTCCAGCTATATGCCGCACTGAGCACTTTATTATTATTTTCGTCGTGTAGTGTGCTATATAGAACATGCTTGTTTATTCATATCTGTCACCCTGGCGCAGGTGTCGAGTATAGTGGGCCGTGCCGAGGTGCTGTGCTGCCTCTTCTTTTTGCTGTCTCTCCTCTGCTACCACCGGTAAGAGTACGTATGAGTGTTCATTGGTCGTGCACTTACACGAATAATATTATAGCACGTGATTATTCTGCTACTCTGACGTCAGAAATTGCCACGATATTACTGTGTTGCACTCAAGCACAGAGATGTCTCCAAAACCTCTCTGTTTTTCTGGTATCGGTAGTGGTTTGATTTTAGAAAGTAAGAGCTCCATTTATATATCTAAGATTTTGTTCGGGCACAATTAATTTTACTTAGTTACACATAATTATTTTTCGCAACAAATTCCACTGATCGCACGCTTAAGTTTCCCACGCGGTAAGTTTTTGTGAAGTCTATTCATAATCTTGTACACAGAAGCTTTAACACATTCTTGCTCATTTTGCATTGTCACATTACGTTATCTATATATAAAATCTCCACAGTTGAACCCAGAGGTGATACGGAACACTTCAAAACTTCTTTTACAGCTAGCATAAGCCAAAATAAAATACATAAAAATCGAGAAAAAATACAGTCGATCTTGAAAGTAGGTTCATTGGTTGTGTCTTGGGGAACATCCGTATTTCTCCCAAATTACGCAACAGAGTAATTCGGAAATGTTTCTTGGAATAAAATACTGTGATCAACCTAGTAATCTTCGTGAAGTTTTGTGGTCTCAGTTATTCGTCTTTATATTCTCGATTGCCGAGATATGAGACATATTTTCTAACCGTGGTCGTCACTTAAAAGACTTGCCTTGCAATGGCCATAAATGAAACGCTGTGTTGTAACTTTATCATAATTAAAACACATAGTTGAGATGGGTTTCCCCAGAGTTCTTCAAATCGTGCTTTTAAATATGAGTTTCTAGCCTTTCTTCTGCTCCAGCGAAGACTCTGAACTCTTTCACTTTCAAGTTCTCGGCATAGGAATTCCAAATCACTTTCAAATCACCTTTTGATAGCCTCATGCAAGACATGAGCTGCTCGATATCTATCGGGTGTATTGCCGCAATAAAAATGTCATTTCTATGAATGAGGCCCTTTTACTGACCGTGAAAGGTTGACTTACCTTTGGTAAACTTTGCGGGCGTCTATCTTGCAGCTGTACTAAGAAGAAAGGAAAGATGACGGATATATTTACTTACTCGGCCATGGAGAAAAATCACTGCGCACTTATTTTTCGAGATATTTTGTCCGGCAAAGTGCGCGATCTTTTACTTTCCGGTCGTGCCTCACTGACAGACTGATGTGTGGCTTTTTAGTAATAAATTGACAACAGTAAAATTCTGTGTTGTCAATTTTACAATCGGCTTTCGTCACTAACTTCTTCATGTAGGCAACCGGTCTTTCAATAAAACGTTTTTTTCTTTCTATGAGAATGTGAGACATTTTGTGACATATAGGTATTGTTCTTTAAGCCCAAAAATGAGAGACCGAGGAGTGGCATGCATTGATCAACAGCATAAATCTTTCGGCATTACGGATCCCCGCAGTTGTCGCTCTGTCTGATGTTGCTACGTCATAAAAATACGCATATGATTCATTTCTTGTAGAATATACGAGGATAGGGGATAAACTCGGAATACATTACTCTCGCTTTGGAAAAAAAAACAATCGATTACTTCTGTAAAAGATGCAGCTATTGCATCAATGCGCGTATGATTCCAAAAGAATTTTTTTCATATCCTGCCGAACAAGCTTTCATACTCATTGCTTTACATATCTTTTGATTGATAGTCCTTCCGCTTCACTTGCCCCGATGAGTTTTGTTGAAGCATAGCATTGCGGCGCAGCAGACTTCCTTTGCAGTATAAAGAGAAAACAAAGCATGCTGTCAAGTTGTCCAACCACTAGGTTCATTTTTATGTTTGTACCACAGACGCCTGATGAGAAGGTAGTACTTTATTGCAGCAAAATATCGTCAATTCACGTGTCATTGTGAGTAGGAAGCTTAAGTTTTCTAACTGAACCAAACTGTGTTGAAATAGACGCAATGTGGTTTATTTGAAAACTCACGTCACAGACACGATTACTGTCAGCGGCGGCTTGACTATTTTAGTGTTTGGCAATAATAAAAATTATCATAGCCTAACGTTCCAGAACCACGATATAATAATGAGGGACTGATGGCCAGACTTAGCACGAGAAAATTAGGACAAAGAGAAAAACACGCGAGACAGCGCCTGTGCCGTGTGTTCTTCCCTGCGTCTTGTTTTCCTCGCGCTACGTGTCACCATGAATTTACACACTCGACCAGTACACCACGTTACTACAAGATATGAGGAAGGCCGTACAGGGCTCTAGAATTACCGAACACCTGGAGTGATCTAACATCAACGTATATCTTAGCGCAGCGCATCAAACGTTTTTCACCACCATCGAAAATGGACCGCCATGGCAGGAATTGGAAACCACTAGAGCACCGTGGTGAGATAAGATGCAGATATGCGGTTTGCCACTAATGTCCCCGAGGGACGTATATGTGCGTGTGGGAGACTTTAACTTATTTCGTTTTTTTAATATTTTCCTATATTCTTTCTTTTTTCCACAGTATGTTATTTGCATACTTTATATTATTCTACTAATTCTACCATGTAGATCCTAATGCCAAAGATCCGTGCGGAAAGTTGACGACAGAGTTTCTTACCTTGCGTAATGAGATGAATAACACCTATCTCTCATAAAAGAGAAGAAATATTAAGCTGTGACCTTGTATCAAAAAACAATCTCGTGATTTACCTGAAGCAATGACCATGGTTACAGGCCTTGTATTTGCGAACTAAGTAAGATTGGAGAGTAAGTATGTTTAATAGCGTTTAGTTGGAGAACTATGAACTATGAACTGTGATAATCAAATAAAGTCTCTTGGCGTTACTGCATTTATTAGTGTTTCTTTTCTGCTTTCAGTCAACAAAGAAGTACGAAAAAGAAGAATACTGATAGTGCTCCAATTAAGTCTTACGTAAAAACGCTTTGAAATGTTCACCTTCAGCTGTTGCCTGATTTATGCGTTTTCGATAGCAGTGTGCTTCTCACCAGGCATTGCATCAGATGTGCGCCGAATGTTCGGGGCACAATTGCCCTGCTGCAGTGTTGCCGATTCGCACGTAATTTTCTTCCGAAAAAGGTCACCCCCGCTCATATACAAGCTGCCTACGCATGCCTTGTCTCAGCAGTCTTGTTAGGCATACCTGACTCTAGGAACGGACGCTGCAGTTTCGCGCTTAAGCACGGACCTTTAATGTCAAGTACAAATGACCAATATGAAGGTTCGGTGGGTAAAGCACGGGGATTGTTAGCAACTTTACATAGCGTAAGAATTGGATCCTCATCGCCGTCTTTATTTAGGAGAGGTGCTTTCAATTTTGAATGAAAAGACTGTCCAATCAGTCAATTGTGAGTTATGAGTGTTTCGCAAGAACGTTGTTAGTTGGTAATTCGCTTTTTTTTTTCGTGAAGACGTAGTGATAAAGAAACGGGGATGCGTAGGCTAAAAATTAACGCACTCTTCTGCGCCGCTGAAGAGATTTTCGCTACATACTTTTGCACCGAAAATGTGATAGCGCTCAGAATGTCCCAAAATCGAAATAATGTGAAGCGTCTCGGGTTCTCATGAAACAAAGATGGCAATGAGCATGATCTGCACCTTAATGCAGATTTAGATGCTGTGTGATATTAAGAGTAACTCAGTGCAATCAACATGGGCTGTCAACATACTTCAAATGAGCATCTATTATTGCGTAATTTATCATTACTTAGTTTAGAGAACTTACGTCTAAATGGGCCCTAGAAGTTCAACAAAATGTTCTTAACTGGCACACTACCAGGCCACGTAAAAATTGTAAATACAGCTACCATAATTCTGCCTTCCAACCCCACCAAGATATTTAAACAGACTACATAAACGAGTGATCTTTTACAATTATTTTTGGATATAGTGCCTCTGTTGGTTTTGCAATCTGATGCAAATATGAGAGGTTTAGTTTTAGGTTATTTTTATGAACCTTGCTATGTGACTTTAGGTTTTATATTACTGAAACCGTTTCGGTGCGGCATGTTGGGTCAGTCAAACTACAGATACTGCATCTTACCCAGCCATCCTTTCCACAAATAGCGCGCTCCTGCTTTGTCACAAATGTACGGATATGGCGAGAGAATACAGATTGCATATCTCATAAGCGAAGTAATTTTGTTGTCGCATGAGCATCTCGTTACAATTTGCACGCAGACTGCGTACTCTAAAAAAGAACGTTCTGAAATACTCGCGTTCTTATTTTCAACAGGTACGAGAGTCCAGAGTTTAAGACAACCCTGAGATACGCGTTCTAATTCGCTTTTTTCTCGGAACAGCTGCCAACGTTCTCGAGATGTACAAGGAGGTCATGAAAGGTCGAAGTGGCTCGCAGCTTGTGGCCTGCTCTCCGTGTGTGCGCTCCTCTCGAAAGAGCAAGGCATCACAGTACTGCCGCTGTGCATGGCTCTTAGAGTGTGCACATTAGTGTGTGATTCTATGCACGCGGAACAAGAGACTCGGTGCCATAAAGCTCAGTACCGGAAGTGGTAAGCTCTATATTTTTTACCGTCACTTGAAATAAAGGGTCCCCTAAAACAGTTTTTTAACATTCCTTTTTTTATCAGACCACTACTGAAGCATCATTGGCACCAGAGTTCAAAAAAAAAACACTCAATATTAACGGAACTACGAGTATTGAAAAAGTACCTTTCTCCTCCGCTCCGCCTTTCACTCTCAACTGCCCTCAACTCTTTCTTCGAACGCTCGTGCCTAAGCTCCGCCTTGACGGCGCCTACGTCACGATGTGGCATGAGACCGCATACGCACAAATTCTGCAGCCGATTGGATACCGGCAGTCTGTGCTGCACGTTCCACAGCCAATCAGACCAGCTGGAAGTGATGACGTCACTGAGGCAGAGCATGTCGCTTGGTGTATGGGTGGTTGAAAACCCGTTTGGCGGAGTCGCAGCGATCTGGAGCGATTCGCAGCTTTAAAGCGTTGTAATAAATTACACAGTTTACGCAGAGAGCTGAAATTGATCTCTAAATTAGCCTTGGAACTTGGTGTACCGGCCCAATTTGTTTGCGAAAAATTGTAAAAACTGTTTCAGGGTCCCTTTAAATATCTTTTATTGCGTCCTTTCAGCATGTGGAGATAGATGTACCAGATGGGGATAACCTGTTTGCACATTTTGAACGCACAAACATGTGTGCCTGATTATTGTTTCCAAACCTTCTCGACAATCACCACGCATGGTTCACAGCTACTTCACAAACTCGTGCATTCAATAAAACTTTGTGAGCTCGCTTCTACATTTCGAGAAAACAAACAAGCAAATGTTTAGGAATAAAAGAGTTTAGCATCAACCTTCATATAAATGCATTGGCATGCCACAGTGAACTTGCTGTTCGGCATTAAATCAAACAGTGCATCAGACAGCGTTCTGAACGTCAGAACAAGATGGAACAAGGTGAGGAGGTCGATCCCAGCTGGTCCTGACAGATGCGCCGTTTGATTCTGATTTATCAGAAAGTTTAAAAAAGGCTTTTAGCACCGCTTTCAAGCCGTGGTAGCCATATCCTCGGGCAACAAGTGTTAACCCTTGTGTTGTTGCAGCCCTTTTACTGGGCCACAATAACATGTGGGTTACGTCTGGACTTCTGGTTGACAAACATTAGCCTAATGTTTCATGCTGACCGGATGGGCTTCCGTCATACCCTCGACTTCAAGGCCAGCCATGGTTCTCTCTCGAAAGTAGATCTTGTGATCTCAAACATTGTTGCTCAATTTCAATATACGAGCGTCATTGAGCATGTCTTTGAAAAAGTGCAAGAGATCTGCGCACGAAATTTTCAATGACAGCTTTAAACACATGAAAAAGTTAGCGTCTGTAACTTTCAGGCCAGTCTGCAGATACTGTATACGAGACATTGCCCACCGATGCATCACGGATTGTGAGCTTGTGAAGCTGACGGCACTGGTAAGTGATCACTTGCTTCACACTTGCCTGCGTTAAAGGGAGCGCTGTATAAGACTTCTAAACATAGTTATCTGGACATCTGTATTCATGTAGTAATGCTCAAACTTGCTAAAAAATTGAAGTGTTTACTCAAGGCGCATTGTGCTTTCTTCTCTTACACTTGAAAACTCGAAATGTTTTATGTATATTTTCCACTGACATATCCAACGAAGTGCTGGGGTTTATATGGCAAGAGAAGCATATATACCCGTATACCTCTGCGTATGTCTAGTTCGTGCGAGGACTGGTGTGCTTGGAGCCGTAATATGGGTCATAAGCAAATGACTATCACTGTACCACGCACTCTACAGTGCATATTTGAAGAAGAGAAAAAGGATGACGAGCATGAAGAGGCAATGTTGCTTTACAAGTTCATATTGCGGGCCCCGTGGTTGTAATTTTATTAAAAGGCCTTGCCGAATTTTCAAGCAGGAAAGCACTTAGGTGCAGTTCAATTGCTGAATCGACAGGAAGCTCACCAAGAGGTACGTCTATTGGCGGCAACTCAGTCCTATAGAAATTTGGCCCTATCTAACTTTCATATTGTTTCGAAATGAAAAAATTTTAGCAGATCCCACGCACAGTTGCAATCGATGATTTGTGAAGCACGAATGAAAAACAGTTGTATGTCACTTTAAAATCAGCACAACGTTAAAAAGCGGAGGGAAATATGACGTACATGACTTCCGTGTCTTGATTATTAGGTTTCGATGTGTTGTTTACTTTTCGTCATCTATTCACATCACGTGATACTAAATTTAGTGTATGTGGAGCTAGCGAAACGGACGCGAGCACGCTATAATCGTGGTTTGTTGTCTTGTTCTTAGACGACACTCGTTTCAGGGTTATCATGCTTGCACCAGTCGTATATTTTCGTCATACGTGGACGTCACGTAAAACCAAATTTGCTACATGTAGAGCTAGCAAAATGGCCACGAACGCATCGTGAAGGGCCCAATATACTTCAATGTAGCGTTGACGCACGCGCATGCGCACGCTGGGCACAGTGACGCTTCGTTAGCAAAACGCGAGCAGTCTATAGTCTGACTCCAGGCGCGACAGGCGTGACCAGCGTCTGTCGGCGCGGCCCAACGGCAACCAGTGCGAAATGCGACATGCTGTATTTCGCGCCAAAGCTTACCTAGACTGCACTGCGTCTACCTCTTTCTGTGACAGAGGGACGCCGGACGCACTGAAATGAGCATGCGTCAAAGCAACGCAGCGCGGCGGCGCCTGCTAGTGTATGGCAGGACCAGCGCCTCGCGTCGCAACGCTGGCGTGACGCGACGAAATGAACGCCGGCGAGCACGCGCACGGCGTCACGTCAAAATGTAGTGGCGTAGTCATGTTCTCACATGACGTGTAGTAATGTTCTCACATGACACGCATCTCAAGGTTATCATATTTGCACCAGTCACATATTTTCGTCATCGATTGGCGTCGCGTAATACCGAGTTTGGTACATGTGAAGCTAGCGAAACGGCCGCGAGTGCATCATGAGCATGCTATTTAGTCATGTTGTTACATGACACGCATCTCATGTTTATCGTGTTTGCACCAGTCACATGCATTTGTCAATTATACACATACCGTAATACGAAATTTGGTATATGTGACGCTAGCGAATTAGCCGTGAGCGCAACGTGAGCGTGGAACATAGCCATGATGTTACATGACACACATGCCATGAGTTTCATGCGAGGGTCTGTCGCTTGTGTTTGCCATGCAAACATGTCATGCCATAACAGTTTTGCAACAAGTCATGGGAACGAAATCACTGCAAGAGTAAGGACCACGTAATGTAAGTCATGATTTTCATGACGTACATGTCATGATTTTCATGTTGTGACAAGTCAAGTATGCTCGTCATACAGCCATGTTATGCCATACCCAGTTTGGTATCGATACCATTATCAGAACAGCCAGGAGAACCAAAATTCGTGGCGAATAGATAGATAGATAGATGGATAGATAGATAGATAGATAGATAGATAGATAGATAGATAGATAGATAGATAGATAGATAGATACGCTGAAAGTCGCCGAAGTTCACTAAGAAATGCTTCGCATTTAAAATCACTGATAGTGTCGTGCTGTATAGGCAGGAAACTTATTACATTACACGTCTTATTCCATTGGTAATGTGGGTATTATGAAAGTAAAAAATTATTTGAAGCAACCATTGGGGCTATGGTTAGTATTTACCAGGAGATCTTTTCGGCGTGTTGAGAACTTGTAAACTCTCCCACATCCACATACATAATGACAAAACCGTACAATTTATTCTAGCACATCTAGACTTCTCATTCTCACAGCTCTCTGCCCAGTAAGGGTTATAGTATGTGGACGTTTACCGAGCTGTAACCGCGCCATGGAATATGAGACCACGTTGAGCTCTTAAAGATTTTATCATGTGGGGTTCTGTTTTCTTGTAACTGACATCACACAGTTACCTACACAGGCGCCTGGCATTTCGCCTGCATTGAAATGTGACCACTTCGGCCGACACGGACCTTTCGTTTCAGGAGCGAAAACTGTTGCCCACTGTACTACACAGGTCGACGCTTAACTGGTCGCCTATTTTCTCAAACAAATGCCACTCAGCGGTGAAGTACATAATGAATAGGGCCCGTCACAGTGTGCGTGCGATTTTTTTATCGCGTAGGCGGGCTACAGGCTTTTATAAAGGAAAGAACGGCGATTGATAAACAGCGCAAATTGGTGCCAATAAGTCTGCCTTGGACCCAGAACAATAGCGTTGCCACGCTGCGCAGGAGTGATAGAACAAACCTTAACAGTCTTTATACTGTTTTCGT